CATAAGGGGGAAGGAGAAGGCAAGAGATAGGGAGTTAAAGGGATTTTTAAAGAGATTATTAGTGACAGATCTGTAATGAAGATTAAAATAATTAACTGTAAAATGATAATGTGTTTGTTAAAGAAAAATTGATTAAAGCAAAGTTCTAAGAAAAAGAAAGGAAACAGGGCTACATTCCCCACTATGTCTTAAGGAGAAGCAGAGAGTGAATACTGGTAATGGTAAAGGTAGAGCTAGGAAGAGAAAAGGCAACATCCTCAGAAGGAAAGTATTATAGGCTAGGGACAGAACTTGAAGAAAACAGCAAAATTTGAGATAAAGGCTAAGAAAAACAGTGTAAACTCAAGCCAAAGGAAAAAAAAAAATTACAGGAAGCAAAGTAGGCTCAACTGAGATTGATAAACACAATTAATTGGTGGGTTCAATCAGAATGGTCAGGCTATTTTTCTCCAAACACTTCAGTCACCTCACAGAGATATTCAAGACTGGTCTGTATATCGTTATAAAGTACTTGGAAAAAATGGGATAAAAATGTGGTTATAAATTGAAAAATACCAATAATACTCCACTCATGCAAATTTGGTATTTTCAACATCTCTCCATAGTGTAAGCTTTTTGGCTGACATTATGATTCCTTTTCATTTCACTTCATTTTTATCCAAGTAACCTTCAAAGTACTTTTCAAACTTAACAGTTATACCAAGATGAAAGTTACATCTATAATTGTATGCACATATCACTTCACTCAAAAACAGCAATCATATACAGAAAATGAAAGCATGTTACCCAATTTAAACTTCAGTAAGCATATCAAGAAAAAAGGCCTATAATTAACCAAACTAGAATTTAGTCAAGACAACAAAAGTATAAAAGAACAAAGCTTGTTATATCTAATTCTGCATTTATCAACTTCCTTGCTTCAGAAAACTAGCTTTATAGAATACTAATACCTGCAGAGAAAACACAACAAATACCACATGGAACAGCAACTTTTAAAGACACTTATGTTGAAAATGACAAAAATCTAACATTGTTAGTATAAGAAATAAAGTATCATTATAAAATACAGCACATATCACTGAAATACTTTCTGAGGTGGAAATAGTAATATCATTATAAAATTATACTTGGGGGGCCCTCCCTGGTAGTATAGCAGGTTAAAGCATAGCACTAAGAGGCTAAAGCCACTTCCGCATGAGTTCAATCCCCGCCTGCCCAGTAGGAAACCACCGGGCGCGGCAGACCTCTCCTGACCCACCCGCTGCTCCCCTCAGCAGTGTACTTTGTCAATTTGCCTGTTCTGCTCCCCACTGTCTCTGGTGAATCCTCTCACTGCCCCTGCACCTCTTGCCTGTACTCCAGTTCTGTATGCACAAATAAAATCTTTAAAAAAAAATTATACTTGGACAGATAATGATTCACCTATGTGTAAAACAACAACCGGAACAAAAATGTACTATGCACTTCAATGAATAATGGAAGCGATGAACTAGAGTGCCTTAGAGCTAAGCCACTTCAGTTATTAACTGTATTAACTGGGGCATAAAAACTTAGTAGTGTCAGACATAATACACAATCTCAGTTCCCTACTATGTAAGTAAACAGAAATTCTACCTGCTTGTTATAATCTCTCAGTCCACTTTCCATCATTGCTAACTTTTCTTGTAACTGATGGACTTCCTGTTGAAGTTCTTGAATTCTGAAACACATTACAACTAATGTCAGTATATTTTCATTAAAAATTACAAATTAACAAGAATGTATTCTTTCATAAATTCTTTACTTTGTTTTTCTATGAGATATGAGATGCTTTGGGTTCCAAAGCCACAGAATGGACAGAGAACATCATGTGAGAGATTTAATTTTATAAAAATAGATTTAAAAAGCCAAACAAATAATCTGAAACTCACATATATGATGCAAACTGGACAACTTTCTGAGAGGTATTGTTGCCATTCTTAGGTTCAGGAAACTGAGGTTCTAGTCCAAACTTCCCAACAGTATAAAGTGAAACAAAAGACTAAAATATGTTTTCTGACCAAAACTGACTCATTACTTTCTGATAAACTAGTCTGTAATCCTGAAGAGAAAAAAATTAAGAAATACTACAATTTTCCAAGTAACTACAGCAAAGTAACTTCTTTCTGCAGCTCATTAATTCTGACAGAATCAAGATTTCTCCAAATGATATGAATTCTACAACTGCTCAAATGTATTTAAACTACATCAAATTTTGCAAACCATTAACATAAAGATGACACAACCACTATTATAGTAAAAAAAAGTCTGGAGCCATGTCTACTTTTAAGAGAGATTTTGCCTAGGCTAAGGCATAGTTAGTCTCACTAGAAGGAGTGTTTTCTACTAACCTACCTTTACACATGTAACTGCATCAGATTTGTGCATGAGAACTCTGCACACAGACAAAATATTCATGTCCAAACTAAAACAAGAAAATCAAGAGACTAAGACCAGCTATGATGACTTAATAGAAAAAAGGGGGATAAAAAGAGAGAAAATAATGTATATGCAGCTGTAAAATGCCTTAAAAATACTACTAACATATAATCTGAGAAATCATAGATTATAATTTCTAACAAAAGAATGAAACAAATATTTCATGTTTAAGATCATAGAAACTGTAAATTATACAGGTAGGCAATACTATGTGAAAAGAAATGAGCTAAAAGATCCTAATCAGTATCTAATACGTTCTTTAGTATGCTATTATAGAGATTAATAACGTGGGAAAGTTCTCCCGTACTCTCAGCAAAATCTTTCAAAACAAGAGGTTATCCCTGCTATCCATTTCCACTAGTACATTCCATATTTGAAATGTCTGACCAACTACTCCCACAGCAGCTGTCACCAGTGCTCTCTCACTCCCTGGAACCCGCATCATTTTCTTAATAGCCTTTTATCTTTTATATTTCTTTTGTTTCATCTTCACTACTGGGTTGCAAACTTCTCAAAAGAAGCAACACCATCTTACTCATTTTCACATCTCTGGCATACGTACCTACTGCTTTGTCCAGTGAGCTTAATGAAGTTTTAATTAAAACAAAATTTATATCAGATCCCAACAGAAGAAAAAAATCAAACATACAAAAGAAGTTAGGCACAAAACTATTTTAAGGAAACATGTTATGTGATTCAATTGAAATCCAGTTTCAAAACAAGTAAAAACATTCTATATTCAGAATACCTTCAGAAAGTACTTACTGAGTGCCTGTGCAAAGTTCTGTGCTAGGCACTTGAAGAAATAACAGTTTAGGGGAAAAAGTCCTACTACCAGGATACTTACAGTTAAGAGATCACTGCTAACTAATGCCAACAAAAAATACTTAATGCACCTGGTATCTGCCACTTGAAGGAGATCTGCGATGTAAGGGTCCTCAGGCTGAGGGACTGGGTAGCAGCTGACTTCAGAGGGAGGGACTGGCTCATCAATTTGCATACGCTGGCGCCTGAAAGCAATACTTCTTTTTTTGCCACCTAAAAAAGCAAAAGTATATTTAAAAAGAATCAAAGCATTGCTTAGATTTAGATATTTGAAAAGGTTATAAAGTTTGTATACACTGGTCCATTTTCTCCCTCATATATATACTGCTCTTTAACTAAACCATGAATTCCTGAAAACTTCCACCAAGGCATGGCTGTGAAACAAGTTTTAGTTTCTCCATGCTTGGCGCATGTCTGAATTTAGTCTATTCCTGTACTTGATAGTGACTAGTCTTTGGCAAGGTTAAAAGCTGTGTGTCTCTTGTGGTGTTCTATACATACTCATGCTTACTAAGCAATGCCAAGAAAGCAGGTAACTGAAACTTTACACAGCGAAATTAACATATAACGCAACGTCATCTGAAATACAAAATCATGCTATAACCTGGATTAGTGGGGCATATTCTCTTAATTACCCTTGAAACTAACTAGAGTAATTGCCTTTTATGAAGAGATATATACTGTCTTGGTCTATCTGCATAGATAACTTATCTTTCTAGAATCTATTTAAAATTAGATCTGTACTTGAAAAACTAGTTGATCTTTACAAAAACCAAATTGCAACCACAACTTTGTTTTCATTAGAATCCCAACACATTTTGTATACTCCCAGCTCTCATTCTGAGGATAAAAAGCTAGTCAAAAACAGGCCATTGAAGAATGATCTGCACACTGTGTTGTTCTTAGCTTATGCCCTGATTTTCGTTCTTAGTTGTTCCTCAGTTTCTGTCAAAGACCCTTCTCATCCACCAGTTCCTTAAAAGCAGACTTTCCTAGGGACTACCTTTGGCTTTCCTCTCTTTCCAGCCTATAATTCCTACTACAGACATAGAGCTTCACTTCCCACGATACTATAATGACTCTTTAATTTGAATCTCACCTATGACAACACTTTTGAGAACAGCTATCCCACTGCCTGCTAGAAACCTCAATGTGAATGTCCTGTGGGGAAAACAAACACAAATCATCCAAAAGTGGACTCCTGCCCTGCTGTCCACATTTTCTATAATAAGAAACAACATCCTCATTGATTCCACTCAGCCACTTTAAACAAAAGTCTGGGTATTCTCTGTTGCCATGTCCTCAATTGGTCACTCCATACCTCCTGAACGTCACTTAAATTGGTCCACTGTTTTCTTAGGAAGCTTGATTAACTGTTTTTCTCAAACTTCTAGTTAGTCCCAAGATTGCCCACTTTTCTGCCTTTGGCTGACAGGCCCCTCCCTCTAATTTCCTACCATCTTGAACTGCACTGATTGTTCTCTCACCCTGTCCAATCAATTTCTAGTCCCACAATGCTCATGGTCTCCGTTCCACTAACTTCAGGCACATAGTAATGTGACTGTGCAGGGACTCTGTCACCACTCCGAACTGTGCCTGCTTCCAGATCTTCAGCTGCCTTGCTTCATAATCTTTGTTCTGACCAATTCTCTTGGTCTCCACCTCGTCTCATAATTCAGCACTTTCCTACGCCTCACTTACTTCCATATCTTGATCCCAAGCTTCAGACATCTCAATGATCTTGTCACTAGTACTGGCGATTCTTCAAGCAACCTTATGACTGGACAACATCAACTCTGGGTATGCCCCATCATTTCTTTTCTCTTGCTCGAGAACTACTGAGCATAAAGCTAAAAATAGTAAAATAAACTAAGAAAAGTACATCATTTCCAAATTCTTTTGAGTATGGATTACTTATATAACTAAAATGCAATAATAAATATAACAAAGTAATTAAAAATAATTAATAATGTATAATTCTGGGCATTGTCATTAGACTTTTTTTGTATGTTTCTAAGCACACGTATAAGATAGTATGTGGATCTGCAGGAAAAAAAATCAGAAAGTCTCCGTAACTATTCCAATACAAGTTTTAAAAACAAAATCTAAGCACAAAAGTCCAAGGGTAACAAATTTAGTAAGTTGAAAGATAAGATGTATACAATTTGTTCTGAGAAGGAACAGACTTACCTGGCGTTTGTACTACAGCATGCAAATTCTTTTCTTGGAGTTGCTGAATTTTTTCATTTTTAGCTTTGCTCTCTTTCTCCAAAAGTTTGACTTTATGAACATACTGGTTATTTAAAAATTTCAGATCAGCTGTTTCACGTGTACACTTCTTTAAAGTAGTTTTCAACTCTTAAATGAAAAAGAGTACAAGGTCAAGAAGTCTATGAAGTTCTACTTCATAAAAATATAAAGTTATGTAATCTGAAAGGCTTAAAAAACTACTTCTCCGTTACAGATATGCACAATTTTATATGAAAACACAAATATTACTACTCATTATAGCATAAATTTTGCTTCCTTACCAATAAGCCTTTTTTGGATAAAAATAACCAAGACTCCACCTCTTATATATGCTTTGTGTGAAAGATTACTACATTTTCTACTAATAAGAACAAAACTTCAATTAACGCCCTAAGCACAGAAGAGAATTATAGTTTTCTTCTGCTGCATGAGTATAACACAAATCAAGACCTTTGACCCAGTAAACTGAGTATCATAAAAACCTCATATCAGGGTTATGAATTTTTGACAGGTATTAGCTTGGGCTTTATACCAAATATAAAAAGAATTTACAGTAAGATAGTCATATAATTAACTTTTGCCAAATACCTTTCAAATCACCCTATTTTACCTTTCAGTTCAAAGATGGAATATTTGGGGCCTCCTTGGTGGCGCCAGGGAGCTAACCCACATGGCAGAGCAGACCTCTCCTGTCTCGTCTGCTGTTCTCCTCAGCAGTATATCTCAGTAGATCGGCCTGTTCTGCTCCCCACGCTGTCTCTGGTGAATCTTCTCAACACCCCCCCCACCTCAGGCCTATACCCTAGTTCTTGTATGCATAAATAAATAATGTTTTTTTTTTAAAATGAGTATTAAAAAATCAGAATGATACTTGGTTTTTACCTCATTTTATTCCTCATTTTCAGTAAGAGAAAAACAAAAGCTGCTTCAGTTCTAACATTTATTATTTCCAATAGCAACTTTAATTCCAAAAAATTCATCCATATATAGTGGAGACAAATACAGCTGTAAATTATATGTTCATGTTCCATCTAGGAAACTCTTCAATACATTTCCAGTACTATTAGAAGGAAGATGATCACATTTCCTAATCAAATTTTTTTTAAATTAGACTAACTGCTGTTATATATAAAATGAAAAGGGCAAAAAATAATTGCATCTTAATATTCACAAAATTTTACCTTTAATTTGTTGACCTGACTGTTCTTTCAGCTTCATTAATTCCAGGTATAATTCATTATTTTCCCTGCTCAATTTTGCATTTTCAAGTTTGTAAGGTTCCAAAACAAAATCAAAATTGGCACTTTCTTTTTCAGCTTTCACAGCAGATAATTTTGATTTCCGAAGACTTTCTGTTGTATGAACTAGGTCACTAAAGAACAGAAAATGTAAATACAAGAAAGTACTCCATTAACTTTCTAGTAATTAAAAATATATTTCTAAAAAGTTTTAAGATATATGTTAATGCAAAGTGAGCCCAAATCTAAGATCAAACCACTAAGCATTTTTCAAAGTACCAAGATTAATTAAAAATTAAGTTAAAGTTACAAAGTAATGGAATAGACTCCTTTTTTTTGCTCAACCATTTCCAAATATCATTTGAGCCTACAGAATTGATGAAACTCATTTACTCATTTTGCAAATACTTATTAAATGTCTGCTATAGTATTCAACATGCCAGAACATAACGAAGAAGAATAAATTCCCTATTTCTCAGACAACAAATCAGCGGCATATTCTCTCTTTCACAATGAAGAACCCACTGTCATAGAGCTTATTTTCTACTGACAGTCAAAAAGTTACAATACTATATAGGCAATGACCTCAACAAACATTTCAATACCAACTAAATATTCAACCTGTCCTACATGGTGCAGTGATAAAGTCAATCTGCAGTCTCACAGTTTGCATTCTAAAAAGAAACCAGAAACAAGTACCCAATAATAAGTAGTAAAAGTGGAGTGTGGGCCCTCCCTGGTGGTGCGGCGGGTTAAAGCACTGCACTAAGAAGCTCAAGCCACTTCCGCATGAATTCGATCCCCACCTGCCCCGGAGGAGATCCACATGGCGTGGCAGACCTCTCCTGACCTGCCCGCTCCTCAGCAGTGTACTTCATCAATCTGCATGTTCTGCCCCCCATTCTGTCTCTGGTGAATCCTCTCACTGACCCTGCAACTCTGGCCTGTACCCCAATTCTGTATGAATAAATCTATAAAAAAAAAAATGTGGAGTGTAACAGGACAAAAGTCTTGCAAACCAGTGAGCTAACCAACATGTGGTGGAGAGAGAGGGACTTTACTAGCAGACAGAACAGTGCATTGGGAGACCATGGGTGAGCACGCAGGATGCACATATGGTTACAGAGCTTCAAGTTGTTCAAAACACAGGAGAAGCAGTTGTACATCCTAAATCACTAAGAGTTTTGGAAGCCATACTAAACACCACACAATACCTTCTATCCATTTTCTCTGTTCCACCATTATCACCTGTAGTGCTACTGCAAAGTTTCCTAAGCTTCCCAACTAGAAGTCTCAAACCACAATAGAGCTCACGTGGAAAAGAACAAAAATCACAAAGGCAGCAAGTTAAAGAAATGGCCAATTGTGTAGCAGAAACCCATCAGTAACATAATAGTAATAAGAATTAGTCAGGGATATAGACAGAATTTTCACCTACAACAGAACAATAACATAAAAAAATTTGTACTTCTACTCAGAAAAATTCTCTGAAGGTAACAGTGAGTGGTGAGCACTAAAGGTCCGTGTGGAGTTCCCGAATTGGTGGCTTGGGAGATGATTTCAGGACTAAATAAAGAATCTAACCATTCCTTTACTGAGCAAGAAGTTCAACTGAAAACCAGGCAAATGGAATTAAAATCCATACAGGTTTACAACTGAAAAGTTTGCCTTTACCTGAAAAGTTTTTCTACCAAAGGTAAACACTCAACTGTCAGAGTCTGGCGATATCCCAACTGATCCAATCTTTTGCGGATATTAATATATTTTCTTTCCGCAGCTGTAGTCATCTTGTCTTCCAAAACCAGCTTGATTTGCTTAAAAATATTAAAATCCTAAAAGAAAAAAGTAAAATATTATTATATCATTGTTGCGCTATTATTATTTCATGGTAAGAGGGAAAGGTTCTTATATGGAACAATTATCTTTCTATTTTAATAGACAGTCTTCTGGAATACTTAAATCCAATGCTTATTGTGTTCATATTGATATATCAAAATTAATCTCTTCATAAACCTGTTTGTAAATGTTCAAACAATCAAGCTTCTAGAAGAAAGCAGACTATTTTCCCAAAATTGATACAGGCAGAGAATTCTTAGAAAAGCATATTTTGAAAGCAGTCAAGATGAATGAAAAAACTTGATAAATGGGCTTCATGGAATTAAAAATTTCTGCTGAAAATAGGAACAGCTCTCCCTAGTGGCACAGTAGATGAAGGCACAGCACTGAAGGCTGGCAGCAGCCTCTTCAATGTGAGTTTGATCCCCCACTCGGGAGGTGACCACATGGCACAGCAGATCTCTCCTGTTTCACCCGCTGCTCCCCTCAGCAGTGTGCTTTGTCAATCCACCTGTACTGCTCCCCACAGCCTCTGGTGAATCTTCTTGCCACTCCTCTGTCCTGTATCTCAGTTCTGTATGCATAAATAAATAAATCTTTAAAAAGAAAACAAAAGAGGGGCCTCCCTGGTAGCATAGGGGTTAAGTCTCAGCACTATCATGCTATACGGCAAGGAAACAAACCCACGTATGGCCACAGCTGACCTCTCCTGTCTTACCCACTGTTCTCCTTAGCAGAATATTTCAGAAGATCTATCTGCTCCCCACTCTGTCTCTGGTGAATCCTCCTACCCTTGAGCCCCTGGCCTATACCCCAGTTCTTCTATGCATACATAAACATTATCTTAAAAAGAAAATAAAAGGGTTAACAAGAGTGGAAGAGCATATCCATAGCATCTGACAAAGAAATTTATAAAAAAAATCTTACAACTCAACAATAAGAAGACAGACCACCAAATGAGCTAAAAAACCTGAGTAAACAACTTTAAAAAAAGACAGCTGGATAGGAATAACCATATAAGATTATGCTAAACATTTTAATCACCATGGAAATACAAATTAAAACTACAATGAAATATAATTTTGCCCACAACTAAAATGCCTAAATTAAAAAGGTCTGACAATACCAAATGTTGTCAAGGATTTGGAGCAAATCCTGGAATCTTCACACCTTACTGAGGAGTGTAAGATAAAATCAATTGTTTCTTATAAAGTTAAATAGTATTCTACACCCTAGCTGTAGATCTATTCCTAGATATTTAATCAGGGAAATGAAAATAAACATCCATTAAAAAACTGCAAGAATATTCACAGAAGCATCATTCACAGCCCCAAATTAGAAACAATCTACCCATCAACCGCAGAATGATAAACAAACCATAGTGTATTTATACAATGTAATAGTTCTTAGTAATAAAGGGGAAGGAACTACTGATACATGTCAACCACATGGATGGATTTCAAAAACCTTTGAGCAACAGAAGCCAGACACATATCTTGTAGAATTTCATTTATACGAAGGTCAGAACAAGCTACATTAAAACTATGTGGACAGAGGGCCCTCCCTGGTGGCGCAGCGGGTTAAAGCACAGCACTGAGAATCTAAAGCCGCTTCCTCATGAGTTCGATTCCCGCCTGCCCCGGAGGTGACCACATGGCGTGGCAGACCTCTCCTGACCCGCCCGCTGCTCCCCTCAGCAGTGTATTTCGTTGATCTGCCTGTTCTGCACTCCACTCTGTCTCTGGTGAATTCTCTCACCCTCCACATCTCTGGCCTATATCCCAGTTCTGTATGCACAAATAAAATCTTAAAAAAAAAAACAAAAAACTATGTGGACAGAAAGTTAAAAGTATATTTACTTAGAAAGATGGGAGTAGGGGGGAAAAAAAGATGGGAGTGGGTGTAGAATGACTGGAAGGGTTGAGCGAGAACCTTGTGTGGTGACGAAAATATTATATGGCATGGAAAGGTGATTATAGAAGCATCTGTAGTGCACTTAAATCTGTACATTTCACCATGTAATTACACATATAAGTATCTCTGTGTTCCTTATCTTTTAAAATATTTACAAATATATTCTCTATCAATTTTTTTTAAATATAATCATCCAAAAATCATTTCTTTGGAAACTTTGCTCTTTACTGTCCTTTGCCAACTAAGAGGTAGTCTTAGTTCTCCTATCTAAACCAAAATGCAACTTTTTTCCACATCTCTATTTTTCTTCACAATTTATAAAATATGATCAAGCAAAAGTTTATCCTCACAACACCTCTGTAAGGGAGACAGGGCTTACAGATAAGGAAAGGGTGTCTCAAAGGAACTTGCCTCCAACTATGTGGTCACAGCAGTGGGCAGTCAGTTCTCCTGAGAACTGGCCCAACACTCTGGTTTCTGTACCGCTGCTGCCAAGTATCCAGTCACTTCTAAAACAGCGCCTCTCCTTGGTTACTCCTTTCTACAAATCTTTCCTTCTCCCACTCTTGCCGGCCAATGCAGGGTGTTTTAGCGAAGCTCCTAGAGACATCAGAACCACAACTGTCAAAGCATGAACTAGCAGGGTCTCATCACACAAACTATTTCTCCTGTCTGGCACCAACTTTGTTAACCCAGAAACACGTTCTCACATCCTAAGAAAGAGACAAAAGAGGGAAATGATAATAAAAATACAAAGACACAGCCTGTGTGTATTTCAACACACAAGACAAGATTAAAATCCTCCCAGGAAGGATCTCAAAAAAGAAAGCTCTGGGATACTGTCTCTCCACCCCAAGCCCCAGTCCCTTACCCTCGCTCATCCAAACAAGGCTACACTGTAAACTAGCAGCAAAACAAAAGGGTAGATACGGAGACTCCCGCGCCCCAACACACACACACACACACACACACACAAGCGTTTTTAGAATTACCCACCTACTTAAGTCTGGGGGACTGACAACGGAAAGCCAGTAGATCTTATTGTAACATAAGTACCCTGTGTGCGGTCATGCACAGGGACTTAAAACCAAGTCCGTTAGCTCAAGTTACCTGGAGTCCATCCTTACTAAACTTAGAATAAGAGACTACAGGTAGAGGGTGTATGTGCAATGGTGCCAATCAAACGCCAATAAATGGTTCTCGTCCAACGTGTGGCGACACTGTTGTTTTACCAAAGAGCATCTGCGCTTCTTACAGAAGAAAGCACTTTAACTTTTAAATCAATCCGTCGGGGTAGCCTGGTTTCCCCGCACCGCGCAGGCGCGGGTGGCGAGCGCGACCGAGGTTATCAGAGGGCTCAAGCAGCCTCGAGCAACCTCCAGCCCGCAGCCTTCCGCGGGGTGCTCAATCAGAGAGGGGTACCGGTAGCGGACACTGCGGCGGGGCTCCGTTCCCGCCCCCCAGGGCTCCCCTTCCTCC